TACCTAATATAGACAAATTCGGTACGGTATTCGGTATATCCCAAATACTGGTACCAAACTTCCAGCCCTAGTCCTCCTACCTCCAATCCCTTCTTCCTCCAAAATTTGAACCCCCTACAAATAGACCCTCAAACCAACAATCGAAACCACCAGACCACCCAGTCTGAAACACTCTGGTGTTTACTCCTCTCCTCTCCACACCCTGAAAAAATCGAGAGGCGGAAGCTGGTGACTCTTCAGCTGCTCAGGGAAGCTGTCGACGTCGCTGCTGCGGTCGATCTTCCTTGCTTCTCCTTGAAACCAGAAGGGGGAATTGAGAAGGGACGAAAAGGTGAGGAGGAAGAAGGGGGATGTCTCGTTTTGGTGAGGGGAAATTTGAGGGTTGGGTTCCATTTTTTTTTTCCACTCCTGTTCATTGAGACATGAGAGAAAGAGTGAATAGAAATATGATGAGAAGAGGAAAAGAGGGCGGCCAAATTTTGGGCGGTCAAAAGTTTGGGCGCTCATTATCAAAAAATTTAGATTCAAACCCGGATTTTTCCACAAATAACACTGTTCAAAAACGAAATTACAATAATATCACCCAATTCGGATATCTTCCAAGAATAGCACCCTTTCTTAAAAACCGTTGGGTGGGAGCGCGGTTTTCCACCAAAATCGCGCGAGTTTGGGGCGGTTTTGTTGGCCGTAGCGGGTAGGAGCGGTTTGGTTCAAAACCGCCGCCCAACCCAGCGGGTTTCGTCCTTTTTTCCGATTATTCCTAACCTAGGTGAAAACTTCAAATGAACGTATCATTGTTTTCGGGTAACTTTTCGCATAACTTTTTGAGATCTCGCAAGCTGCAAATTGCCGTAGACAATTTGGTCCCGCCTTCATCTCGAAAAAATGTCGTTTGCTACCACGAACGAGCATTTTTCTGATTTCGTCAAACTATGAACGACCATAACTTTATACTATAATGTCAAAATTTTACATAATTTTGTGCCGGTTAGAACATAGAACCGATACAAAAAGTAATTGAAACAACAAATCACAAATTAACTTCCAAAAAAATAAACTCCAATTTCGTGTCAGTTGCAACCAACACAATCCGAAATATTGTGTCCGTTACAACCAACACAAAATATTAACCAACGCAAATGTAAAAAAAGTTTGCGTCAGTTCATCAACCGACACAAATTGTCAACGCAAATCAAAATTTCTAAATTATCATTTGAAATCATGAGATATTTTCATTGTTGTTTAGGACCTACTACGTCTGCTTAGCGCCTCTTAGAATCATGATTATAATTTATATGAGTACTACGGCGCATGAAACTAATGTATGTATATTAGACTAACAAGATTGATCTAACTATATGAACTTGTAAAAATACGGATAAAAGTTCAAAATAATGGAGAGTCTTATGTAGTAAGATATGTATGATTTACCGAAGTTGTAATTACATAAAGGATTGTTGTTTACTTCTCTTTTATTATTCTATGGATAATTATAGGCAAACACATAACTAAAGGTTGTTGTTTGCCCATGCACATTAAGGGTTTGATCAAACATTGATATTGTTGTGAATTAAGTATTAAACGAAACTCATTAACAAATTTCACCATTGTTCAACAAACAATTCATATACTTAACATTAAAGTCTAAATATTACTTGGTAAGTAACTCGTATTTGATTAGCTTTAACTATGTGATGTGTGTTTAGCATGTATAAATTAAAGATATGATACACAAGTCATAGGGTGCTCCTACGGTGACATGCATGTTACGGTGACTTGCACTTTTCGGTCGACCTCAGTTAGGATTAGGTCGACCTAATATGTTGTTTCAGTGTAAAAACAGTTTCATGATACCTACTTTGGAGATTCATATCATACAATTGACTAGATGGAAATTCAAGATTAATGGCTTGCTTTGAAGGTGGAGTGTCCCTCTACATATTGAAGTGATTAAAAGCTTGATAGGAAGTCCAGAAGATCATTTTTGAACCTGATCAAAAGGCTATGCCAAAACTGGGAAAATGCCTGGAAATGGCTAAAGTCTAGAAACGTGTTTGTGAAGCCTACTTTGGAGCTCAATTCGAGAAGCATGAATGTGTGTCGAGTCCAGGGCCTTCTACCACGTTAAATTAGGTATGTTTTTATACAAATTGAAGTCATTGGATAAAATATTGGATATCTAATCTTTCATCCAATGCCTTGAATTTGTAGACAAACATATCTAATTTAACATGGTAGAAGCTCCTGGACTCGAATCGCATCAATACTTCTCAAATTGAGCTCAAAAGTAGGCTTCATAAACACGTTTTCATACTTAGCCATTTTTAGGCAGTTTCCCAGTTTTGGCATAGCCTTTTGATCAGGTTCAAAAAAGGTTTTCTGGACTTCCTATCGAGCTCCCAAGTACTTTAATGTGTAGAGGGACACTTCAGCTTCAAAACAAGCTATTAATCTCTAATTTTCATATAGCCAATTGTAAGATATGAATTTCCAAAGTAGACACCATGAAACTGTTTTACAATAAAACAATAGATTAGGTCGACCTAATCCTATATGAGGTCGACCGAAAAGTGCATGTCACCGTGAGATGTATGTCACCGTAGCAAAGTCCCAAGTCATATATGCAATAAATATTAGCCACATATGCAAAATCTCAAACGACAATAAATCCTAAAATAGGTAGTATAACTAACCTACGAGTTAAATCACTAATAATAAGTCACTAAGTTGAAAGTTGTGCAGTCTAACCAACCTACGAGATATATGACTAATAGTAGGCTAGTTTAGGAGCTAGATAATGAGCAACTAATCAAATTGGTTTGCCAACATACAAACAAGTAGTCTCATAATATAATACACCGAAGGGAGCCCCATTTCAAATTTCGTACAACGAGAGTGAAAGTAGGAAGGACATTTTGGTCTTCACAATCACTTTTTTTTTATTCATTAAAAAGACACATACTGGGACTCGAACCATGACCATTTTAAAGAAAAGCAAGGATCATAACCAATCACACTAAGTACATTTGTTGAATCTTTTTAAATTAAAAACATATAATAGCAGGGAGGAAAAAACCCTTCACCCATTTCAAATTCCCTACTCCATGAGCGTTTGTAGGAAGGGTAGAATAGAGAGTGTCAATTTTTTTCTCTTTCCTCTGTGGAACGGGCCAACTTACCGTACACATTCGGATTTAAACGGGTCCAGGAGTGTCAATTTTTTTCATTAAGCCCTTTTATTTCTCCGTGGTGATAAAATATATATGAAAAGGAAAAACCAATACTCCTTTTTATTGCTAAAAATAAAAAAATTTAGCAATAAATTAATGCATGGTATCTAATGGGCTAACCGCTAACCATAAAATAAAAGAGTTGAATGGGCCTGACCTACACGGGATTTGGCCATCAAGTAAAACAAATGAACATCATTGGTTTGTCATTCTAAAACAAGCTATTTACTCTGGCATAATATATATTATGTTATTATTTTATATCTTAGTGGCTAAAATATAATGTATTTTAAAGTTATTCAATGGTTCAACCTCGACCAACCCAAGTAGTCCAATTTTTATCATTTCAAATATATATTATATAATTATTTGATATCATAATGATCAAATTATAGTGTATTTTATAGGGAATCGTTTGGTATTTGTTAGTAAAAAACTAAACATAACGATCTATTTGGTTATTTTAAACATTAAAACGATCCTAAAAATTTTCAGGTCCTTTTGAATTTTTATGGTTTAATTCCCGAATAAGTGATGTGCAAATGGCGAATTGCAGTCATCTCTTTTCTTTCACTATTTTTTATTTTCAAATAGAAAGTTTAAAAGTAAAGAATAATTAGAATTTGGCATGGGTCAGTCAAACATGCTGAATTTCAAGTTTTGACCCGTTTTGATCAAGTATAATTTATAATCACATGGTTCCCTGATGCCCGATAAAAATCTCAATCCAAACTAGTTTGGCAGGTGAGTCTGTGTTTACCACCATTTTCTAGGGATACGACAACGACGGTTCCTATCCCAAATCGTGTTTTTCGTTCTTGATTTCCTTAGATTTTATCATGGCCTAACAAAAATCAGAAAGCACAATGACGACAAGATGAAAGTTTTATAAAGCAAATTAATCGACCAACGGGCCGGTAAAAGCTAGCAACGATTGTGAGATGCTCATTTCCCGAAAACCGACGGGATAGGCGATTTTTATTCTGGAATTCCGTTTCTATAAAACTTACTCCACCTCATCATATTACCAGAAATAATATTGTTTCACAAGGTAACATGTACTTGATTTTGGTTCATAAGGCCGATTTTTGATTAATTGCATCATTCATGTCTCTTTCCTGCTAAAATTCACTATTTTTATCACGAGTTTCCCAAAAAAAACTATACAACAATAAGCTATACACCCCATTACATTATCAAATTTCATACCTCACCTTCCTCTGGCCAACTGACTGGGGCACACGCTAGTTATATGATAAGTTTACAAGTTTTACGATTGCCATAACTCAATCATTTTTCATAAGTAATATACAAGGAGAGAAAATTTGTCTAAAAGAAAAATATTTGAAATTAGTGCAATAATAATGTGTAAGTTGTAATGAGTAAAAAATAAGTACCAACCCGATCCGCCTGCAATCCACTCGACCCGTAACCCTACAAACTCGCAACTCAATAAACCCGCGACCCGACCGACCCTTAACCCGATTAATTTATAACCCGACGAACCCACAACCCAATTAACCCAAACCAGACCCGTAACCCGAATCCAACTAACCCGTAACCCGATAAACCCGTAATCCAACTAAACCGTAACCCGATTGAACCCAGTCTGCCGCCCGATTGACACCTATAATGTGGAAGAATCAGAAGTGGCATGCAGGCTAGTGAGAAGAAACCCCTCTGGGTTCAACAAGCTTAACACAGATGTTGGTATGTTGGATTGGTAGGATTTATCGAGGACGACTGGAAACTTCATTCTGGACATTTTTAGAAGAAAGAAAGAAAGAGGACTTTTGTGCCAGCGTTGCAAATACAGTGGCTCATCTTTAGGAGCTGGGAACAGCTTACCATCCTATTACAAACAGCCAATGTTGGCCTATGAGCCCTTGTGATTTTATTCAACAAGGTTTTCATAATAACAAAAACATCATAAAGTACACTCGCAAACTCATCTTAAATTCACACCAGGACAGCAATCGCAATACAATAGTTTCTGCCTCCAAACGAAACAACAACAGCCATAAAAACAGTTACTGATAACTCGACGTAGAATCAAACACAGAAAAAACTCCATAAGAGTGGGAATTCTTTTTTCTTTGGCAAACTCCCTATCTAAGTTTGAAATACAGAATCAAGATGACCGCAACAAGAAGGGCCACAATAACAGCACCGATGATCCATTTGTTTCTGTTCATCCTTCTGCTCATGTTACCCAACACTCTCTTGCTCCTCCCCAAGTTGTCATCCACTCCATGAAGCTGCGAAAACGACAGCTTCAATGTTCATACACAATGCCATAGCCCAAATTCCATTCCAACCCTAGTCAATACGAGCAAACAGAGTGAAGTAAAGCAGGATCAGTACCGTATCGTGACCACGCAAAAGAGACTGACGCTGCTGATGCAAATCTTGAAGAAGAGAAACGCCAAGCTCTTCTGTTTCCAACATAGTTCTCCTGCTGTCCTTGATTCTTTCATCAGACTGATTCAATCTCTCTGTCGACGTCATTAATCTTGACCTATGATCAGCTGATGCCTGCACCCAACATCACATGAACAAGATATTGCTTAAACATCCTTGTAATGGATGTAGAACCGATATGTAACTCAACCTAGGAGAGCCATAGGCTGCTTGATTATCATAACTGCCAAGTGTAGCAGTATGCAAGACATTCATAACACGAAAGTGCACAGATACTCACAAAGTAGAGAATCCCCATTGCCCTGCGTATGCACTTAAAAAGAAAAAGAGTGACTGGAAAATCTCACAATACCAAAGAACTAGAAGATCACTCATATCAGTTTGAATACATCATAATATTTAATGTGCCACAGAATGATAAGCCAGTTAAAAAAGCACCTCAAAACCATAATGCATCCAAAATGCTAAAGCCCAAACATACCGTCACTGCATCAGACAACCCAGACTCTAGCAGTTCATCTCGGGCAGCAGCATTGAGGTCACCAGAAGCAATCCTTTTAACTTCACTTTTTAGATTATTGAGATCAGACTTATATTCTCTTAATTTAGCCAGAAGCACAGCCTTGACATTTGGTGGCAAACTTCTTGCCTCAAGGTCCATTTTGCGAATCTGAAAGTCATTAATAATGAGTTAAACTCTGGGGGAAAAGCAACAGAAAATAATATGCTAAGCATAGGTGATTAATAAGATACCAAAGACTCTGCATCTTCCAAGGTGACTTTTATTTCACTGAGCTTTTGCTTCTTTAGCTCTGCACCATGATGAAATACTTCGATTCACATCAAGTAAGAAAGCGACCACCAAACCAAATATCAAGCACAGAAACTCTACTACATACAACGAAATATACAGCAAGATAAAGAAGCGCACTCTTAAAACTTTAACTTGTTGCTCTGAGAAAATCAAACTCCACATTGATTGAAAAGCAAGATCTGTGTATATTGATAATTATCACCACTGAAAAAGTCTTAGAAAAAATTCGGCCTCGTGCAACATCAAGTTGACACACAACATGAGCATGAAAAGCAAGGCAGAAGGATAATTCTTAGAAAACTATCATCCTTTGGATCTCACATCAAAACACACAAGTGTTAAAAATTTGAACATGTGATCAAGATAAACTTATCTATGTTTATTTCCATCGATAATTTGAATATAAAAATGCAATTTGTACGAACCAAAAACGTTCTTATGCTTCTTTACGAGTCAACATATAGCTCAGGAAGAAAAACATCACCATATCAATATTTATAGTCCATGAGATTGCAATGCAATTTCATCAGTTCTCACCTCCATCAAGTGCGCTAGCTGAAGTGCACCTTCGGGATAGATTGGCAGATAGCTCACAATACTGGCGTTCGTATCCTTCAAATACCTCACTCATTTTCTCAATTTATCAAAAAGCCACACCGATCTGAAGAGAATTGGCACACATAAGTTACACAACCAAATCAATTTTCGACACAACAATCAAAGAAGATTCTTTCAGTAATTCTTCAAATTCTTCTTAAGCTTTCAACATATCAAACAAATATGATATGGAATTCCTAGGCATACATGAGAAGACTGCCTTAGCCTGTGCCAGGCGAGGCTATTGTGCCAATGATACTTTATTACAGTGTAATGGTAATGAAGGTGGTAGGGAGCTGAGATGATCAGAATCACAAAAGCAAATTAGCGTTTTTCATATTGTTAAACAGAAGAAGCACTGGACCAAGTAAAGACCAATTGTAAAGTGAAGAAAGCTCCAGGCCAAGTGATGCACATGCTAAACAAGTAGCTAGCTGGGCAAAAAGGAACATAAGCAAGTTTAAAAAATATCGCAAATATAGAAAGCTATGCGCAAGCTAAGTAAGCGATCTAAAAATTCATTAACTTCATGGACCAGGGAGACCGGTTCTATGATCTATTATGACACCTAACAAGGAAAGATTCACAAAGCCAAGGCAGTACCAATAAACCTTATACTCAATGTAAGGATATAAGAAACAGTTATTCTAAGAATTCGAACAGTAAGACTTGGTCGAGGATTGGCTTAACAAAGATGTCCTGTGTCCGCGAGGATCAAGAACATCTATCAAAACAAATAAAAAATAGAAACCAAAAGAAGAAGCAGAATTTTACAATGCTTTCTAGTATTGGTGTTTTGGTTAATAAAAATCTTTATACTACAAACTGAACTTGTGCTTTTTATGTCATGGTAAAAATTCAGTTTGCACACATACATTTATAGTACAAACTAGTTATGTTAGGACTTAGGGTACAAGGTACAAGCCTAACTTGTATCATAACATAAAGGTACAAATTCCTTCATGATATAACTTGTACCTTTAATGTTATGGTACAAATTCAATTTGTACCTCGAAACACCAATATTTTAGAGCATGGTCGAAGTGCTCGAAAGAAAGGAACACAGCTGTTATCCCATGGCGTTCGCATCAAGTAATGAACACAGTTCCCAACCACCGCTAAACCATAATAGCAAAAATAAGCTAATGGCCTAAGGCAACTCCTTCTGTCCCTTCAAAGTTGACATTTGGAACAAAACAAAAAAAAAATACATCCTAAGTTTGACCATGCTGCGATAGCCTTAATAGTCATCCTAGTTTGGATCATCAAATCAGCGTAGAAAAAAGCAAAGATGCTGGAGGTGGCGATGCTCAATCATACAGATGAAACCCATGGAAACTATTCACAGGCTTGCCCCTTAGACTCACTGGCCGAACCCAATAGGCAATTAGGCATCATCATCATCATCATCAACAATTCAGCTCATCTCACCGGAGACCTAGATTATTCTTTGTGATAATCTGATATTTCAATTGGACGAGATAAAGGATACCTGAGAACAGCCTCCCTCCTGGATTCACTGAATGCCTGCAAAATTGACTTCCACGCCTTGCGGTTCTCTCTTCACCGAACCGATCTTCCTTGCTCTGATTTCGAACAACTTAACTTTTTTTTTTTATCTCCGACGGGTCCCGCTTTCTTTCTGTCACTCCGACCAGCAATCTCTCTTCCTCTTCCTCTCTCTCTCTCTCGCTATCGTCCTCTTCAATTATTTTACACTCTCTCTCTCTCTCTCTCTCCTGCGACGTTTAGTCGGTCGCAACTCGCAAGCCAAGCCAGGCAAGTTAGTAACCGCTCGCCGAAACGGCACACGCTAGCAACTAGCAAGGTTGTCAACTAGTTGGTTCGACCAATGAAGCAATTGAGTTAGAGCCTAATACTATTAGTTGTTCGGTTCGGTCAGATTCACCACAAATATACAAAATTTTCATTTTAAACAAGATAATAGTAAAAAAAAAAAATTGAAAAAAATTAATGTAATAATTATTAGTATTATTATTAATTAAAATATATATTAAAGGGAAGGGGCTGCTCGCCCCCACCCCGTGATTATTTCCGCCAGCAACTAGAAGAAACCCTCTATCTCAAAAATCTCAATATTCTCCCAATCCCGAGTCCCCTCCCCTCACGATTACCCCCCCCCCCTCTCTTGCAGTGGAAGCGTAGAGAGGAGCAGCGCACGCAACGAGGAGAAGAAGGGAAATCCCCCCCCCCCCGCGCTTCCTGGTTCCCAACGCGAAGAAGGTGGGAAATAGAGCACCGATCTGGTACGAGAGGGAGAAGAAGAAGAAGAAGAAGAAGAAAAAATAATAGTAAAGGGAGTGGTTCTTCCTAGCAGAGTCGCCGCACTGCTTCCCTCGACCAGCCTTGATCGTGAAATCGTCCGAAAAAGGTATGGACAGTAACGTCACGTCGTTTTCCAAGTTTGTTTGATTAATCAAACTAACTCGAACCCGTCAATTGTAAACCGTAGTTTGACAGCAAAAGATTGAGGCCAAAGGTGGTTTAATCGCCAACCAATAAGGAGATGGGAGATGATGCGATAACTAAGCCGCCACGGTACCTTCCTAAACGACCTGGGGTATGGGCGACCCGTCGATGACCTCTGAACTGCGAGCCAAATAAGAAGGTCAATGAGGGTAACGACAGGAGACTCCAAGCGTAGGCGGCGGTTGAGGAATTGGTTGCCGAAGAAGAGGAACTAGAATATGAGTTTGACGTGGAAATTGAGAAGGAAGATGAGGGAAAAACTGACGACGACGAAATAGAGGTTCAAGAGAGCAAGTGGCTTAAGGTTTCTTCGTCAAATGAACTAAGGAACCACCACACAACAGGTGAGTGTAAAGGGGATAAAATCTCCGCCGAGGTCCTTTACATTATATATTTTATTTGAAGTTATATTCGTTAAGTTACGAGTTATGTGCGTTTACTTATTGAGGTATCCCACCGCCTTCTGAAGGTAAATGCACACATTGTGCTTATTTGTGTGAATGAATGTGTGCGTTGATATATGTGGATGTTATTATTAAAGTAATGGAACCCCCGGGAGGTTGGATCACTACTGGACGCAGTAGATGATCGAGTCACTGCTGGACGGCGAGACGTAACACAGTAGTTCACCGGGCATGGTGTTGGACAGCGAGACGTAACGCAGTACCATTGCTTTTGAGGTAGGGTGATAGACCAATAATTACACATGTTTATACCCCTATTCTTGAGTTGTTGGAGAAGAGATTCTCGTGTTTTAAGCCGATTTCACGCTAGGTTGTGTGTTTATGTCATATTTCAGGGCTTGGCGTTGACATTAAGGCGAGGAAACGAGTTTCGGGTCAGAAGGATGACGTTTGAGTTGAAGGGGGGCCGGAGGAGCAAAATACCCGGCCATGAGTAATAATACCCGGCCGGTTAAATCACTAAGAGAGGCCAGGGAAAATCGATTTTGGACGTCTCGAAACAAAAGGGGTCCCGGCCAGAGAGCAAAAATACCCGATCGGGTATTCTTGACCTCGATCGGGTATTATCCCCTGTACCGCTGCGCTGCGTTTCGAAATCCCCGGCCGGGCACCCGAAATACCCGACCGGGGATTATGACCGGGGATCACGAACGCAGGCTGTTAAAAGCCGGTTTTGTGCTTTTTTGCAAGGGGAGAGCTGGGTTTTGGATCGCAAACACCCAAGGGACTAACCAAAGAGAGAGAGGGCAATTTGAGGGCATTCTTGGAGTGGAATTGGAGGATTTCTTTGCCTTGGAAGCTCGAGGAAGAAGCCCGGACTTGAAGACTGATCATTTGAAGATTCTTCTTGCAATCTCTCTCTTCTCTATGGAGTAACTTCCCTTCACTTAGGTTTTGAGGAACCCTAGCTATGTTTGTTTGATTGGATGATTGCATGAGTACTCCTACTTGATAATCTTGAGTTCATATTCTATCTATGCACATTTTCATGATTCAATTCTACTTTAGTCGAGATTATTGATTCTGCTTTGATCCTATGAGGGAGAATACCTTATTAGGTCAATAGAGCACCATAGATTGATAGTATTGGATCGATTGCTTTAGTTGAGGGTCGATTCACTGCTTTTTATCGATTGAGAACCTCATTCGATAGTGGGATTCTAGTTCAGAACGCCTTGATCGGTTGTTCTAAAGAAGGATACGACCCTCTAGGCAATCGACTCAAGAGGGCCTTGATCCTTTAGTCGAGATTCAAGGTCTAGTCAAGGATTCTCCACGTTGTGAATGAAAGTGAAACAAGTTAGAGATCATCAATCATTAATCTGGCTAGTGGCTAGGGGGAATCATACCTTAGTGAGTTCCCAACCTGTAATTAGATTAACTTTAACTGTAGTTAGAGTAGTTTTAGTTCTTCCATCTTAATCTGGTTTGCTAGATAATGAACTGAAGCTGAGTAATAGTAACTCTAGAGACCCGTGGATTCGATATTTATTACTTGAGCCACTATACTGCAGTCCCTTTCATTGGTTACACTTGGCCATTGTTAGGAGTTGTATCATAGCGAGTCAAGTTTTTGACGCCGTTGCTGGGGACTTTCTAGATTATTAGGAAAGGCAGAAGTTTGTTACTTTAGCGTTTTTCTTTTCTTTTCCACCCTTCCTTTTCACTTGGTGTTTTTGTTTATGTTGATGCAGATTTGAATCATGGATCCTCATGGCTTCTCCAACCATTGGAGGTATCCACCACCGTTCGAGTGGTATTACCCCGAGAATTCCTGGAGCAATCAAGGAGGAGAAGACTATGGATTCGGGTTCCATTACCAACCCCCTTACTACGAAGAACAATCAGACCCCTGGGCATATCAAGAACAACATCCTTATCAAGAAGAATTTCTCCCACAACTAGAAGGGCCATCGGAGCTGGAGTTAGCCATGCCGGCCTTCACGGGCCATTCTGCAGAGCCATGCTACACTCCAGAACCAGATCCAAACTATGAATTGAGGCTTCTCATGGATCAGTTTGCTCGAGACACTGAGAGATCATGCTCCAAGATGGATCTTTGTACCCAGGCCTATCGTGTAACAGAGGAGATCCTCCTGAGCATTAAGAAGAGCCTCGATGATCTTGAGAAATCTTATGCATAGCCTTCTCAAAATCACCCTTCTGCTACTATGCTAGAAGAGGAGGAGGAAGACGAAGGCTACGAAGACATTGTGGAGCAGACAGAAGTTGTCACAGAGAGCTCCCGTGATGATCATGATTAGGAATGTCCTGTCGTAGCCCACCACACCTTCCCACATCCCACACTGAGCTTTGAAGAGGCGGGCATGAGTGAGGAGATGCAAGATGATCTCATCAAAGAAATTGCTTGGCGACTTGCCCTCCAATCCATGTTGGAAGAAGAAGAGCAAGAAATGGTGTAGAAAGAAGTTGTGGAGGATGATGAAAGTGAAGCAGAAGGAGTTCTTGATCTTTTCCCAGGAGTGATACCACATGAAGAAGGAAGGGGGTTGAAGAAGCAATTGGCGTCCAGGCCGAGGACGAAGTTGAGGTGGAAGAGGCTTGCACCGACCATGAGTTCATGTGATATCTCCACCAAACTTCGAGGAACTGCTTAGCAAGGACCCATTTGCAGTGTCTCTTTGCCAGACCAAGGCCACATCGATATCGGTCCCTCTTGGTGGACGAGAGAAGAGAAGAAGAGGTCTCGAGGGTGGAGACTTCATCCGCATCAAGTGCACGAGCTTCCCTCACCTGTCATACCACATGCTCGTGACTTGAGACTCCACCTCATTGATGATAACATCAACTTCAAGGAGGTTTTAGGGTGGACCGAAACTTAGGAGCCATCGTCTGGCTCACGACGTGAAAGAAGCGCTTGTTGGAAGGCAACCCAACTAGTCGGTTTGCATTTCTTTCTCTATTTCTCCTCAGTTGAATCAGTTTTATTCTTTGATTTTAGAGTCAATAACTCAACCTTTGTGAGATTTTGTGTGGTGTTTGTGTTCCGACTACTCTCTCCTCCTAGAATGCACCGCCTGCCCCATCCACCATCATTCACCCTTGATCTGGTAACTTCGTTCTACCCTCCTTATCTTTCCTCCATTGAGGACAATGTCGTGCTTAAGTGTGGGGGAATGTTCGATTATGTATGCGTGTGAATGTTTGGTTGTTTGTGTGCTTGGAGCCTAGTCCATTGTCCAAATTTCGATTTAAGGGCTCCAAGTACCTGTTTCCTTGCAAATTGCCGGCTCAGTATGCTTTGAATTGACAATCCCTATAGTAAAATGCAACCTACGGAGGTAACTCGTCGATAAGCATCCAACACCTATACTGCGCCAGTGCCGATCGCAAAGAAGCTCCATTGATCACCTACCCCACGCATAGGTGATGGAAGAAAATTGACGTTGTCGTTGTAACAGCTCGCCCTCTGTCCTTCCGCATCGTCAACAAATCCTACTCACCATCGTTGACACAATTCATTTAACCGCTGCAACACTGCGTCCCAGTGGTAATCGCACCTATCGAAATGCGCATTCATAGCTGCGATCTTGCTAGCTGAATCGTTCCCCTAAATGGATTGAGAGTGAAGCCGTTTGTCCATTGACAGCATTCGATTTTTCATCGCCATTGTTTCCAAGAATGACTCTGATACCACTTGTAAAATTCTGAATCTTTCCCGACGGATTAGTTGAACAAAGAAAGAGATTGGATTGAGGAAGAAAGTTGGAAATTGGAGAAGAAGAAGAAGAAGAAGAAGAAGAAGAAGAAGAAGAAGAAGAATA